TGAGGAAAAAAGAAAAAAGAAGCAAAACAAAAGCGACAGCGTATCGAAAGCGACGCCAGAGAGTCCGCCGTCACGGAGGTCGGCCGGGGCGGTGTGTGATTTGTGCCGTGCGCGGCCGTAGGAAGTAGGATGGTCGCCGGAAGTCCTCCCCCGAAACACATGGTGGGGCTCTGTATCTCTCTCTCTTTCTCTCTCTCTCTCTCTCTCTCTCTGCTCAGTAAAGACACTCGTTTGTGCTTCGCCGTTTCCCGCGGCTGGCCGCGGTGAAAAGAGCATGGCAGTTTACGAGCGACGGCCGGCACTTATACACGTCGCGAACCGATCGCGAGCGTTTGCGAACCGCCGCCGCCACCAGCGCGCGTGATAAGCTCTCGCGCGCATTTACCGTCGCGATAAAATCTTCGGCGCCGGATTACGCGCTCAGGATATCGCGTTCCGCGCACAGTGCTTTACGGTCAGTCTTGCGCGCGGTCCCCTTACACGTCGTCTAATTACACCTGGGTCTGGTATAATTAAACACGCCTGGGCACGGCCTTAGTTAATAGTGTAACGCGAATAAACCGCGAGAGAGAGAGAGAGACCTGTGCGTCGCATCTGCGGGTCGTCGTGGCTCCTCGGGCGATCCCCGAGATCGTGATCCAGCTCTGAATGCCGCTGAACGCGATCTCTTCCACGTTCATTGAGGAGTGCGCGACTTTTTGCGGCCGCTACGGAGCCGCTCTTTCCCGCGTGATATCATAGTTACGCGTGGCGGAACAAAAGACGACAGAGGGAGAAAGAGAGAGAACAAGCGGATAGGCGAGCGGGAGAGGCACGCACGGTGAAGGTAGGAAAGTGATACGGATATCTCTTCTTTTCTCCTCGACTCCTTCTCGCTCGCTACACCGCGAGGGAGGCGCACGGCGTTTCACCTGCGCACCGATGCACAAGAAACCTCAGACACACGTCGTCGTCTCAGTCGTGTGTTTACATTGAGTGCGGCAGCGCGATGGCTGCGTTAACGCGGCGCAGAAGAGTGCAGTGATGAGCTTCGCGATCGCGGATCGAATTCTCGCGAGAAAATTCCGACACTCCACCACGTCTAGCTGACGTGTTATCAAGAACAACAATCGGAGAGAGGGACTTTGCGCGTTGTCGATCACGAAATGAAGTCACCAATTGACGCAATTAATTAATTGACTCAAGCAACTCAAGCCCGATTAGAGGCTTCCTTATCGCCGCTTGATGGGAAAAAATGTCTCACGATGAATCAGTGAGGGAAGTTCGCGGTGCGTCGTCGCGCAAAGTTGCAGCGATCCGACGCCGCGTTATCGCGGCAGGACGTGAGACCGACACATCCTGCGATCCGAGAAAGTGTCGCAACCAGCTCCAATAGTCGTCCGTGAAAACGACGTCAACCGACGACGACGAGTGGAGCCAAGTGGACAGGAAGAGGAGGAGTATATTCGTTGTTCGTCGTGTCACCGGAAGGGCCCCGACGCGCGCTCCAGAATGACCCGTCGTGTCTGACTGACATGCCGTCCACGAGACGAGTTCAGTGCGCGGAGGACTGCAGGTGCGTGCTCTGTCGCGAGTTGAAGGGCCTCAGGGAGATGAGCGGCGGCGAAGTGGCACGGACGCGCGACGAAGGCGCGAACTTCATCCTGCGCCGGGCCGTGCCCTTCTTGCCGAAGGCACGAGAGACGCGAGAGATGATGCGCGACGATTATTACGAGAGGAGCTCGACCTTGGAGGACAAGAGCCGCTGCGGCGCTCCGGCAATCACCGCCGCGACGAAGGACGATGGCCGCGTCGGTGATCCGAAGCTTAAGGCACCCTCGAGCAACGGCGAGCAGAAGCAGCCGGTGAAGGACGTTGCTCATAGGACGGTCATCTACTTCGGAGACTCGAATCCTAGGCAAAGGGAGGACAAGCCGATTTGGCAGCCGCCACCGCCGCCTACGTCCTTGCCGGAAGCTGGCGTGCAAGTGTCATCGAGATGCAACGGGATCCCTGAGACATCGCCGCGGAATGACGACGAGGTGAAGCTACGCCGAGACAATGGCGACGATCGTAGCTGCGAGGACGGCGACGCGGATGTCACGCGAGATACCGCGACACAGAACGATCCCGGCAAGGTCGTGCACGAGATCGTGGTGAACGTCAGTCCCAGCAGGGAGGATGTGCTGAGGATAGAGGAGGATGAGAGCCAGTTGGAAGACTATTGGTCCTTGCCTGGGGACACCAGCGGCTTCAAGGCGGACTGGAGCTTCGTCCAGCAGTGGAGACTGAGGGGGTAAATTCGCAAAGCGAAGGAAACGGATGTCGTTGGCTAGCACTCGGCTAGTCGGGATTTCTTTAGAGTTTTGCAAATGTAATCCGTCATGCGACTTGCACTCGCACTAATTTATGCGTCATATACCCGACTCGCGCATATCCGCATCTTTTACATGTATTTAACCTACTCTCTAAGTTTCCACGAGGAAATTCCACTCGAAGAGTACTGTGACAGCCGAGTTACTCGAGTTTAAATGATCTTTCGCTCACATGAAGCGAAGATAAAATTTTCACTTTAACTCAACGGATGAATATCTTCATTCGAACTTGACAAGCGAATCAACTCTATTATAATATATCACGACTCTGAGTTCACTCTAATTAGAGTGCTAATTCGAGTTTTAATCAATTGATTAAAACATTCGCATATATAGAGTAATAATTCATTTTAAGCTCGGGAGTGAAACATTTACTCTGATGATTCCGAGCGGCAGTATTTTCACTGTCGTCTCGAACAAAGTTTCACTCGTTTCAAGTTAGGTTTCACTTCAAGGAATTTAAAGAATACTTGCTAAAAAATTTCTCGAAGTAAAATTCCACTGGAAAAATAGAATAATAGTTGAGTCGTTCGAATTTAAACGACTTTTCGCTTATATAGAGTGTATTTTTCATTCTGATTCTTTGAGTAAATATTTTTATTTGAAATAGAAGAAAATAAGTGATCTGATATACTCCACTATCTCATAGGAAGAAATCTATTCTAAATTTGAGAGAAATATCCATTCTTGTGAATTTCGAGTGAGAATATTTTCACTATCGTTTCGAGTGGACTTCTACTCTAATAAGATTTCACTTCAGGAAATTTAGATAGTAGCCGAGTTACTTCGTGACGTTCGCTATATAAGCAATTCGACGCATTCTATTGGTAACTGCAGTTCTAAGTCCTTAACAATTCCATTTGTTCCATTTATTCTGGAAAGTATGTTGATATTTGGCCTGTCCTAATATCTAAGAAATATCTACAATAGTTCGAATTACTCATTCGAATAAACGGGCAGACGTCATAGCGGATTTAATTGTGCTATTCTCGTCTCTATATAGAGCTCCAGATTTCTCATTCTCGCGCGCTGCACTTTACCGTCTCGAGTCATGCGCGCTAACGATACGGCGAAATGGAATTGTAGATTCGTGTTTCCAGTCGCGAGATAAGAGACGCCAAATCGCGCGCGCGTGCATGTGTCCGTTTATCTTAATGCGGGACGAGACGGACGCGTGTCTAAAACGCGTCGTCGATCTTGCATGCTTGTATAAAGAGGCGTTCAGCGCTCCATAATTCATAATTCATAAAGCGCGCCCGGACAGCACCGTAATCGCGTGCTTTTGCATTTAAATCCCTTATCTCCGCGGTCGCTCAATTCCCCGCGCGCGTGACTGATGGACGCTCGTCGAGTGAAACGTTCGTCGTTCTCTCTATCGAATCGATACTACGTAACGGAACGTGCGTGCAAATCGTCACTGTGGGCGCCTCTCGCGAATCGGTATTACGTTCGCGATTACGAGTGATACTCTCCGAGGCTCCTAGCCGCGCTCTCGCTGATTTATTCCCCCTCGCACAAACGATCCTTTCTTCGTATACTCCGAGGAAATTCAGATGATGATGCCGCCAGTGCTAATGCTCGAATCTCAACGGCGCGACGCTGTTCAAAGCACATAATAAATGTACTCGAGTCGACTGCCTTCGGACTGTTTAATCACTCGCAGCGCGCGCACACGCATACGCGCATGCAGTTACGTATCTCTCCTTTTTAATTCTCTCTCTGTGTGTAATATGCAAAAACGTTATGCACTATTTGTGCACTCGAGTCAGCGTAATCGCCTTGACACGTGAAATTATGGCATTCCAGAGCGTCTAGAGCATAAGAAATGCACACACATACATACGTTTATAAATGCACTATAAAAGAAAACTGATCCAAATAATATGAATTGAGTTGGACAAATTCAATTTCTGAGTTGTGTAAAGCGGATTAATCACTCTAATTATTTTGACCGCATTTTTGTGCTTTTTTTTTCATCTTTTATTCGAGTAAAACAAGCTAAAGATTTAGTTTTCATGAAATGCTTATTAAGTTGACTTGACGTATTATTAGTAGTATTTATTGTCTGACTTATTTAGATTAACTTCATATGATAAAATTTTCATGGACTGAAAAAAAATACATGAGTATCTACGTGTGAAATATAAAATTTATTTTTGTGAACGATACGAGTCGGATCAACTTTCTAGTAGTTGGAAAAAAGTCTATATATATATATATATATATATATATATATATATATATATATATATATATAT